CACTCCTCGGAAGGAAGGTTGGGCAATCTACTTCAGTAGTGATACTGCCTCGGAAACCCAAGGAGGGGGTCACCTGACTCAATGGCACATAACAATAACGACAACAGACAATACTTTACAAAACCCAATGCTTAAGACAGACATTCTTTTCTAATTAAGCTAAATTATTGTTTGTTTGGTTCAGGAGATAGTTTTGGTTTAAGGTTTAAAGATTTCAGGGGTTCGTCCAGCCTCAATAGCTCCATGAAGTCTGGATTCCATTAGATCTTGAGGTTTTGTTCCACATTTCTCCCTCTTTAGATCAGGATTCTCCTATAGCATGAACCTCCCATATTCCTGCATTTATCTTGCCCTTCAGGTAACTGAGCAGATCCTCTATGGCAGAGTGAGCCAGGTCGCTGATGGACTTCCTCTTTACCCACTGTACTTTTTCGGGGACCTTACCTTTTGGGTTCATTATTAATTGCTAGAGAGGCTAGCACTGTTGTCTCAGAGCCCATGGCGTGCTCCTTATTCTCACCTGGTGTTGACCTGACCTTTTACCCTGTGCTGGAACACACACCTTCAGCTGTTGAGTGACAGATGTTCCCTGGCATTCTGGGAGACTAGAATGCCAGGGAACATAAACTAGAAGTATACATTCCTTCTCCAGACAAGAGTGCAAATTCCTTACTGCCTAGATTCCTGGGTGGGCTTTGGTGGCAGAGCGTGTTGGCCGAGGTGTGTTGGGGGCAGGGGCTCAAGCTGCTGGTTGTCCTGTTATTTCTTAACCTGGCTGTCCTCTGCTCCCCCCAAGGCTGAAGGTGATGTGGCAGCTCTCAACCGACGCATCCAGCTCGTGGAAGAAGAGCTGGACAGGGCTCAGGAGCGCCTGGCCACAGCCCTGCAGAAGCTGGAGGAAGCGGAGAAGGCTGCAGATGAGAGTGAGAGGTAAGGATGCCTAGGACCTAGTAATACCTGTGTTTACTTCTGGAAAATGGGTCACAAGGCTGACCTTCCAGAGCTGGGGTGAAAAAGCAGTGAGATCCGCATTACATACACACAGATTGCTTTAAAGCCTGTGCCTGGATCCCAAGTAGCCATCAGACTACTGGGATGAGAATCCCACCCAGTGGCACCAAACCATGGGTGTTATATCCATTTAGCCTGATCGAGTCATACACACAAGACACGTACACGGTGTTGGCAATAGTGAAAGCTGTTTAATTACTTGCAGACAACAGGAATAGTTCCATGATGAGTGGAACCCTGTGGCTCCAAAGCTGTCTGGGCAGAGATGGAAAACTCTTCTGTGTGGGCTTTCAGACAGGGCTTCAGGCTGTTGGGCAATGTCTTAGTCTCCTCGTGCTGCTGTAACAGAAATAGCACAAGTGGGTGGCTTAAGGAGCAGAAACTTATTTTGCCACCATCCAGGAGGTTGGCAGTCTGAATCCAGGGCGCTGGCTCTGGGGGAAGGTCCTGTCTCTGTACTTCTCTTCCTTGGTTCCTTGGCAATTTCCATGTGGCGTGGATCTTCCCCCCTGTGCTTACTGCTCTGTGTTGAATCTGCTCTTTTTCTGTCTCAGAGGTGATTAGGTTTAGGATCCATTCTACCCTGATATGACCTCATTAACATAAAAAAGAAAAACCCTTTTCCCAAATGGAATCCCATCCACGGGTAATTGAGCAGATCCTCTATGGCAGAGTGTATACCCATTGCCATGGAGTCAATTCTGACTCATAGCAGCCCTGCAGGGCAGAGCAGAACTGCCCCATAGGGTTTCCAAGGCTCTATGTCTTTACTGAAGCAGACTGCCACATCTTTCTCCCATGGAGTGGCTAGTGGGTTTGAACCACTCACCTTTTGGTCAGCAGCACAGTGCTTAACCACTGTGCCTCCAGGGCTCCTTCCACAGATACACCAAAACCAAACTCACTGCCATCGAGTCAATTCTGACTCATAGTGACCCCCTCTGGGTTTCCAAGGTGGTAGATCTTTAC